AAAATAAACACACTGAAAAGTGGAAGGCAATTAGGAGGAAGCCATTTTTGGCAATTATCCAGGAACCGATTAACATACTGTACTTCAGAGGGACAAGGAGAGAGAATGAAGACTTCTGTGCTTTGGGGGACAAAGCCCCAGAAGTCTTCATTCTCTCTCCTTGTCCCTCCCTTCCTGGTTTAATGACAACAGTTACCATATGCCAGTGATGGCGAACCTTTTAGAGACCGAGTGCCCAAACTGCAACCCAAAACCCACTTATTTATCGCTGGGTGCCAGGTGGGTGTGGCCCACTGGGTGGGCGTGGCTGTGGTGGTCATGGCAGACTGGGTGGGTGTGGCCAAGGTGGACGTGGTCACCTCGATGTTGCTCATGGGGAGGGATGCCTGTGGAAACCGGGCAGGGTTGGGGGAGATCCAGGGGTCTCTGGCAGGTGGGGCAGTGGGCAGGAGGCTCGTCCTGCGGGGTGAGGTGAGGCAGGGCTGGGGTGCCATTGTCGCAGGGCAAGGCGAGGCAGCAGCTGGGGCAGCTGCTGCCTGACACCATCGACCCCCGCACACAGAGGCCAGCCAGCACATGGGGGCCAACAGTGTCTGTCAGCAGCCACAGCCTGCCGGCCCCTCAACCGGCACATTCTGGGGCTCCGCAGCCCGCCACAAGAAGTTCAGAGAAGCCGCCTCTAAGCTGGACAGATGGCCAACAGCTGAGGAGGCGCTGCAGTGGGTCGTGCCCAGGAAAAGGAGAGCATGTGAGGCCAGGAGGGATGGGACAGGGGGGAGGGAAACCAGCCATGCTGGGATGCATCCAGCCATGTGGGATCTCGGCGAGTTAGCGGGAAGCTGGTTGAAGAAGGACGGTTGCCATCTCTGGGGTATGGTGCGCGTGCCCACAGAGAGGGCTCCGAGTGCCGCCTCTGGCACGTGTGCCATAGGTTCGCCACCACTGCCATATGCTATCTTCGGTGCTCTGTTTTACTATTTGACATTTTTTTTTTAGTTTTCCCTCAAAAAGTAAGGGCAAAATCTTGGGAATTTGTGCTGAAGCAAGAACATCTAGTAAGGCAAACTCAGGTGACTGGCCAAATTGGTTGAGAATTTTTATTAATATTATTAAAATACTAAAAAGGAAGAAGAATATACAAAGTTATAAAAGACAAGAAAAACAAAGAAAGCTATAACCCGTCCAGAAGATACAAGACATATATACAAGACATATATTCACACACATGCATAAAAATACAGGTAGTCCTCATTTTATGACTGCATTTTAGCAACCGTTTGCAGTTATGACAGTGAAGAAAATGTAACTTTGTGACCAATGCCCACAGCATTTCTTCCTCAGTTGGATGCTTGCCACTGCTATTGGTTGGTATGCATTGTCCTGTTTAAAATCATAAGCACAGTTGTCATATAATGTTTCACTTAGTAACTGTTTTGTTTAATGACTTGAGTTATCAGTCCAAATTGCAGTTGCTATATGAGCACTACCTCATAAAGTTGTACAGTAAACATTTTGCTGAATGAAAGACATGATTTCTTACAATCATCCATAGCTAATGTACATTGATAAAATATTTATTCGTAGATTGCTGATGAAATCAATGTGCAGACTACTAAATAGTTGGAGCCATCATGCACTAAAAGAATCCAAAGGAGGGACTGTGATATTGCATGCATAAGATTCCCCTTCTCGTTCGTAAATATCATAATAAGGGTTGGGATCTACTGGAAAAGGTGTTGGACAAAGTGGGCATAGGTGGACTGTCAGGGAATTTCATAGCAGCTGTCCAGATGAAGTCGGAGACACTAACACAAACTTGTATTGTCATCATCCGGAAAGAAAAAAACACAAGATAGTCAGGAATACAAGAACATCATGAGGTAAATTAAACAGTATACAGAACACACAGAAGAAAAAGAAGGGAAAAAGGGAAACTCCCCCTTTTATACTTAACGGCAACCAATCATAGTGTAGATTGCCTCATGCATGAGCACCCTCCAACCAATCAGCTACAACTATGTTCTGGCCAGCTACCAAATTCAATTTCCTAACGTGGACTCTTTCTTTTATCAATTCCCTGGGAGGATAAGCAGTGCTGAGCATCTGTGTCCATCCTGCATTTAAACTTCTTACAAGAGGGATGTTAAGACAGGAGTCTTAACATTAAAATGGTGCATACTTCCAACTAGCTCTGAAGCTTGGAGTGTCGAGCCAAAAATAAGACGAATAAATTGTACAGATTCAGATAGATCCAGACAACCCCTTGATAGTAGCCCTTGTTGGGACTGTGATAACTGCCTAGAGATATTCATGTGTTGATGGCGATAACCACTTTAATTCTCTTGATAGTAACTTATAAATTATTGCCAGAAAGCCTTTCTCCTGACTCCTTCCTAGGAGAATTAGTTGAAATGTGCCCATTGCAGTGTGTCAGCAATGAAAACACACTCTTTGTCCCCTGATATTTAATCAGTTTTTCTTGTGCACTGGAGGCTGGTTCTTTCTTTTTCCTTCTTTGGGATGACTAAGTGTATTTATCTAGGGATGCTTGATCGGGAGAGACACAATGGCTTAAAGATGCTGAGCTTGCCAGCTGGCAGTTCATGCAACAGGGTAAGCTTCTGTTGCTTGCTCCAGTTCCTGTCCACCTAGCAGTTTGAAAGCATGCAAATGTGAGTAGAATAATAGGTATTACTTCTGTGGGAAGGTAACAGCATTCGGTGTGGCTTTGTCGTATAGCCATCCTGGCCACATGACCGCAGAAATCTGGCTTCCTCAGACAAGAAACGGAGATGAGCATCGGGCCCTAGAATTGGACACTACTGACAGGGAGATCTTTATCTTTGCTTGATCAGGAATAGCAATAGCACTTAGATTTATATACTGCTTCATATTGCTTTACTGCCCTCTCTAAGTGGTTTACAGAGTCAACATATTGCCCCCAACAATCTGGGTCCTCATTTTACTGACCTTGGAAGGATGGAAGGCTGAGTTAACCTTGATCCAGTCAGGATCGAACTCCTGACAGTGGAATGCAGAGTTAGCCTGCAATACTGCATTCTAACCATTGTGCCATCACGGTCCTTAGCTCCAATTTAGCTGGGAATCGTAGCATTAAATTTCTCTCTTCAATTTGAGGCAAGCTGCCATAGACAATTAATGATACTGAAGATAAGGGTTAGGACTTCTACATGTCGCTGCTGTGTTAGTGATGCCTTCTGCTTTCCATCATTATGCTTTCTTTGTGGCCATCATCCATTTCTGATTGGTTCACCACAATCAGAAGCAGACAGACATTTTTTTTATTCAACTTCTTTTTGAATTCCAGGAAAATGGTGGCTTAAATGAAACAGCTCAAAATGCCAAAATGGTTCTGATTTAGATAAAGCAGTGCCCAGCTAATAATTTAGTAGTGCTTTCTTTTTTTAAAAAAAAAAAAAGGGGGGGGGATACTCCTCTGGTTAGTATAAAGGAAGTAAATGTATATGTCTATCTTCATGAAAAATGATCAGATTAAATTTAATAGTTTAATATGCCAATATAATAAATCTTTTTAGAAAGTAGCTGTAACTTTCATGTTCACTTTTTATTTTCTTGTGAAGATGACTTTCTTACTGGAAAAGGCTATGAAGATAGCCTGCCTTATACATGTAAACTAAGATCTATTGTTACCTTACAATAGTTAAACCTTTGATTAGTTACTGAAGGTTAGGAATGTTGATATTCCTATTATGAGTATTTTTCTAATCCTGACCTTTTGCAAAGATGATCATTCATTAATTCATTGATTCATTTCTTCATTCATTTCCCTTTACTATTGTTGCAAATAATTCAGGGGGCAAACATATCCAATATACTTTCCTTTTCCTGTTTTCCCCACAATAGTAACCCTGTGAGGTAACCCGTTGGGCTGAGAGAGACTGGCCCAAAGTCATCCAGCTAGCTTTCATGGCTAAGGCAGGACTTGAATCCATCATCTTTGGCTTTCTAGACTGGTACCTTAATATCTAGACCAAACTGGTTCTAAGATATACTATCTCCTCAGGCTTTTCCTTGCCCCTGCTCCAAACTCTGCAAATTTCCAAATACAATTCAGAATGTGTGTGCTCATTTTTAAAGATAAGCATGACTTAAGAAACCTGGAGAGATTCTTTACTATCAGCTTGTATCTGTCTGCTTGGACACAAATGTCTTTGCCAGGATACTAACTATTCTGATATCATTTCTTCATTATTTAATGTTATTTAAATGTTATTCAATGTTTTCTTTCCCAATTTTTTATCAGCTTTTATTTCCCATCTTCCTGTTGTATACCGATTATTTGTGATGCTACTTTTTTTTTATTCTTGTCAGGTAATGTATAAATAGTAACTTGTTGAAAAGAACATGTTAATTTATGAAATAAAGTACAAGGGCATGAACACAAATCAACCTCAAATCTCATTTTTATTATAAAACAGGAATGTATTAAGGATATATGGGAAATATAAATCATAATATATTGTGGATTTCAGTGCCTTGGGATTTTGTTTATTTTAGGGCACACTTTGAATGATCTGAAAGATTTCTATTTGCACTAGGATTTAATCCTGGGAATATAATAGAAATATAATGTGAAATTCTGCTCCTGTTCTTTTTTTGCGTGTGCCACAACTAGTGTTAAAATCTTATGTCCATTATCGACTGGAGCAATATCTTTGTCTGTGATTAAGGAGTACATAAATTCACAGCAGTAACTGTCTACCATGATCGATAGCCCTAAATCTAACCTTAACCCACTTGGCAGGAAAAAAAGAGAGCTGAAATAAGCAGGCTTAATTGATTGGTGGGCAAAAAAAATTTGGCAGCCAAAAACAGAACAAGAGCCATAAAAGTCTTAAGATTACCTATCCTGAAGGACATGTAGCTTGAATTGTCTGAGATCCTGCTGTTTATGCTCCTAGTTTATTGGCTTTCTGTTTTCTTTCTCTCTTGCCTACATCGTTCTGTCCCTGTGACAGGGATTTGGGAAGCAAGTGGATGTGTCATATATTGCCAAATACTACAACATGAGTAAAAGCAAAGTTGACAACCAGTTCTACAGTGTGGAAGTAGGTGACTCGACCTTCACAGTTCTCAAACGCTACCAGAACTTAAAACCAATCGGCTCTGGAGCTCAGGGAATAGTTTGGTAAGAGTCACTCAATTTTTCTCAACCTATATTCCTTGTGTTTGTGAATTGAGTTATGCCCCCTGTGGTATGCATTAGGTAGTCCTCAACGTACGACCACAAATGATCCCAAAATTTCTGTTGCTAAGTGAGACCTTTGTTAAGGGAGTTTTGTCCCATTTTGTGACCTTTCTTGCCACAGTTGTTAAGTGAATCCCTGCAGTTGTTAAGTTAGTAACAGCGTTGTTAAGTGAATCTGGCTTTCCTATTGACTTTGCTTGTCAGAAATTTGCAAAAGATGATCGTATTACCCTGGGACATTGCAACTGTCATAAATGTATGCCAGTTGCCAAGCAACTTAATTTGGATATTGTGACCATGGGATGCCGCAATGATCATATGTGTGAATAATAGTCAAAAATCACTTTTTTCAGTGCTGTTGTAACTTCAAATGGTCACTAAATGAACTGTTGTAAGTCGAGGACTACTTGTATGTGTCATGAGTGTTGTCGTAAATTACAATAAACATGTATGCAAGGGCTGAAGTAATAAAAAAATGGTTTGATGCATAAAGATTATTAAATTGCTATTTTGATTTGCTGGGTTTTTTTCCTCCAAATTCTACATTGGATGGTACTAAATGCCACAAATGAAAGTAAATTAACTGTGATTAATTATGATTGTTTTGGAACAGATACTGGTCAATCTAATAGTCCATCTATCAAAAGTAATTAAAGTATTTTGAGTCTAGTGCGGCATAGATATAATAGTTTCTGAGTCTTCCATGGTTATAAAAATACTAGAAGTAAGGCATGCTTTGAAAAAACTGTTCCTAGACTAAAGGTACCACTAATCTCTACTAAACTCTGGTTATTTCTGGAAATAATAGCATTTGTTTTTTTTCCTGCACATATTAGATACTAGCTAGCAAAATGATATTGTGGTACACAGCTTACACATTTTTGCAGCTTCTTCCAGAAAGAACATTTCAAGCAGAAGAGTAATTTCCCCTTTTGCTGTTCAAGAACAATCTGGGATTTGCCAGGCAATATGTCTCATCCTGTATAATTTTGAAATTGTCACAAATTCAAGGTTCCCAAAGTTGATGTGACCATTACTCTTTCTTCATGGAGAGAAAAAGAAAAGCTGACATTCCAGCGAAACATATAAATAATATTGTGAAGGTTGCATTATAAAACAGGAAGGGCTTATCAATCTCACAGTGTAAATAATCAGGTCTTCTATGGTTTATGTTAGTGTTTCTCTGATAAATGGATCTACTGCTTTAAAACCCTGTATAGACGACTTGTTTTTTTTCTTTCCTAGAATGTTTTGGTAGATTTTGGATATTCTTTCTACTTTCATTATGAATGAACCATTAGCTTTCTATTAATTTAATAATTTTATGTTATAAAAAGTGAGAAAATGACCATCATTTTCAGACGTCATGGCTTGATATGTGCAGGAGAGCAATTAAGTTTGGTGACCGCTACATGCCCATTGCATGGATCAAAGTGTTATCCTAAATCAGTGATGGCGAACCTTTTAGAGACCAAGTGCCCAAAAACTGCCCCCGCCCCCGCTCCATCCCCTGCCCCGCCCCTACCCCGCCTCTACCCCGCCTGCCTGCAGGGCCACTCACCGCCTCCAGGGCCTGCCGCAGATTGCCCAGGCAGACCAGCAGCTCCATGGTGGCCACGCCCTCTGCCCACACCCCGCAACATCAACTGTGCATGATGGGGTGTGAGGGCAGAGTCTTGTCTACGCTGCCTGGCTGCCATGTCCTTGGCTGCACTGCTCCACGTGGGCCATACTCGGGGGCGACTCTCCTCCAGGGGGGCTGCTGGTGAGGGGGTCGTGGGGGGAGGCAAGACTTGGGAAACGGCACGTGTGCCCACAGAGAGGGCTCCGAGTGCTGCCTCTGGCACCCGTGCCATAGGTTCGCCACCACTGTCCTAAATCCTGTTTCCCTATGCAGTACATACCATTTTTGACATTTCTTCTTACATTCACTTTCCTGGTAAGATCATACTGAATTTCCTTCCTAACAATGATTAGGGGGCTGGAGGCTAAAACATACTAAGAACGGTTGCAGGAATTGGATATGTCTAGTCTAATGAAAAGAAAGACTAGGGATGACAGGATAGCAGTGCTCCAATATTTGAGGGGCTGCCACAAAGAAGAAGGGGTCAACTTAAGCACCTAAAGACAGGATAAGAAACAATGGATGGAAACTTACCAAGGACAGAACCCACCTTGATCTATGGAGAAATTTCCCGACAGTGAGAACAATTAATCAGTGGAACAGCTTGCCTTCAGAAATTGTGGCTGCTCCATCACTGGAGGTTTTTAAGAAGAGCTTGGACAGCCATTTGTCTGACCTGATATAAGGTCTCCTGCTTGTACAGGGGATTGGACTAGACGACCTCCACGGTCCCTTCCAACTCTGTTATCTGTTATTCCGTTAACTTGCAGATTAAAAAAAAAACCAGTTAGAAATAGGCATTTGTGATGAATCAGTAGGAGGAACACACTTCAAATCTACACAGCAGTTGAATTTGATTTGTTTGTTTCTTCCACTACTGTCTCCACTCCTATGGGGATAGAAACCACCCCCACATCTGTTTAGAAACATATGATAGTGTCTCATAGGACAATATTTTCTAGCAGATGGGTTCAGCTCAGACAGGAACAGTCTTTCTCATTTCCTGCTGTTTCATCCTTTCAGTAGCTGGAGGCTGGGAATTATTCTAACGGAAAGTGGGCGTAAAAGTCATATAAGTAAGTAAAAATAGAATCCTAGACTCATAGAATTATAAAAATTGTAAGTAGCTATTAATGAGAGATCATTGTGGTGGTTAAGGCATCAGGCTAGAAACAAGGAGAACATGAATTCTAATCCTGGCTTAGGCCCAAAGCCGGCTGGGTGACCTTGAGCCACTCTCACTCTCAGCCCTATGAAGCCAGGGGGTTGGACTAGATGACCTCCAAGGTCCCTTCCAACCTTATCATTATTATTATTATAAGCCGACAGTGGCAAACTATTTCTCAAGTACCTTGCCAAGAAAATTGCAGGGACCTGTCCAGACAATCTCTAAGAACTGGACACTATTAAACGGGGAAAAAAGTAGCCATTTATAAGGTGACCAACTTTTTTACAATGAAAAGGAGGACACAAATAAATTGAAGAAAAAAATATTGTAAATAAAAGAAACATTTTATTCACTGCAACAATAATACAGACAACTTGCATGTGCAAAGTTTGCCGGCCGGGTGTTTTGGCGCGCTCAGCAGCAATTCCTATTGGCTTTTGAAAGCCAATAGGGAGAGTAGCACAGCTCATGCAAAAGTTGAAAAAAAAAACATTAAAAAAAGGTGCCAGAACGCCGTTCTGAGCGTTCTGTGAGGGAAAAAAAAGCCCTGCAGATTAGTCTTCAAATATCGAAAAGGAGGACATGTAGGAGGACACTTTTCGAGGGAAGACAGAACTTACAAAAGGAGGACTGTCCTCCCTAAAGGAGGACGGTTGGTCCCCTTACCATTTAGGCCCTCAAGATCAATTCCCTGTTCAGAAACCAAAATTGTCAGCCATTCAAGGTAGACCAGACCAGAATGCCAGAGCTATTAATGCTAATACTATTTTATTATAAGATTACAGTGACAGACTCTTGCCAGGATGAATGTGCTTCCTTCTTCCCTTTCTTTATCAGTGTAGAGCTGAAATACAGTTTCCATTCCAGGATAGCTTGAGATGGAGAGAATTTCTTTTTTTATAGGCTTGGCGAGAAGAGCAAGAAAGACGACTTGGACAGAGATTTGCAGGAAGTATTATCTACATAAAAGGGGCTGAAACATTTTTTAAATTCCAGAATAATGAGAGGTAGCTCAGGCAGATTCTTCCGTAATTAACTGGAATATAAGAAAGAGGAGGGGGTATGGCACCATCAGGCTTGCAAGATTTGTTATTATAGCCAACCTCAATAAAAGTAGTTTTAGCTTTCCAGTGGAGTTGATTTTCTTGATCTGGACTACCTAGTAGCCTTGACACTTTATCCACATGTTGTGTTAACTGTGGTACCAAGGGATCCTGTTTTTAAGTCATGCAGTATCTTTTGCCTCATCTTCAGCCCAACCCAGAAGCAACTTCCATTCGTCTTTAGGGGATCGAAAAGTCAGGAGGGTGACATTTATTTATTTATTTTTCACATTTCTAAACTGGCCCTCTCCCATGCAATCAAAAGCCCTGCCTCTTTTCTATGTGTGTCATAGCCAGGGAAATGGGCCAATAATAGAAATAATGTCAATAATGTAAAACTTTACACATTAACAGAAGCGCACGGCCCATGAAGCACACAACTGATTTGATTTGATGTTTCCCGTGCTTCATTAAAAGTAATCTCAGAGTGGGTTTGACTTGCCTTTTTATTTTTCCCCTTTATGCATCCCAAGTGGTCTGGAGGGCTTACTTATTTTACAACCAAGCCCTATTCAAACCATATGAAAAATAGGTTTAATGCTTTTAAAGTTTTGCTTTCACATCAACTCTGCTCACGTGACAGAATTGACTGGATCATGAGGAAAGGTAATAGGTCGTGCAAGTATTTAAACTCCAGCAAATGGCCCATTTTAATCCAGGCAGTCCTAGTTTTATTTGGGCTAAGTTGGTTAATCATGACATATGAATCACACGAGCAGCTATATGGCCCTTATCCAGTGGTGGGATTCAGCCAGTTCGCACCACTTCAGCAGAACCAGTAGCTAATTTTTTGTTGCCCGGGTCCAGAATGGACTTCCGGAAGTGGCATCCACACAGAGAACCGGTGGTTCACATATTTGAATCCCATCACTGCCCTTATCTCCTGATATGAAGACAACAACCTAGAGATTCACTACACAACAGCTCTCTGTTGTCATTTTGTTGTTTGATTTCTGTGGCCTTAAGTGAAGTGTTTTTTATTTTTATTTTAAGAAAGAGACCAAAATGGATTTGTTGTTCAGTTGCTAAATCGTATCCTACTCTT